CGGGGCTGGGCGGGGGCGCGCGGGGAGGTGGCCCGCAGCGAGCCGCGGCGGGGACCGCAGCAGAGCGCGTGTCGCCGCGATCCCCAAGACAGGGCTGGCGAGGGGAGCATCCTTCAGCGAGAGCCGAGGACCGGGTACCGCGGGGACTTCAGCTCCTCCTGTCTTGGGCTGGACCGGGGCGGGCGCAGGGGGATGCAGGATGGGGAGTGACCTCGCAGGGTGCCGTCTCTTCCCTTAACGACAGCGGTGACGTGGCTGACAGCCAAGTGACACAGGTATTTCTCTTCCGAGGAAATTGGGAGGGTGAATTGCTCAGGGGCACACAAGCAGTATGGGAGAAGCTCTGCAGGGAACATCGGGGGTGTTTTGGCCCTAGATTCTGAGCTTTTGACTGCACTTAAGCCTCTAGCTGCTGAAGAGAAGCGTGGGAAAGGATCTGGCTGTTAGCTGCCTATAATGTGCGGAATATTCTTGAGGGAAGTGCTGGTGGCGACGGCAGTTTCCAGAAGTGATTCAGTACTTTGGGTAGCAGCTTCAAGTTTTTCCCTTTTCATCTAAACTGCTAGAACAGGACTGTGTGCTTAGAAACTTGCTATTTTAATCAAAGTATATTTATTCTCCCCAAGTAAATTTTGAACACTTAGGCCTTAGAAATTTTTATAGTTCTATATACATTTTAAACATTATGTTAACTAGAAATGTTTGAGGGAAAGGTGATTGTTTTCTCTAACATTGTGTGGTTTGATTGATTGATTGATTGATTGAGACAGTCTCTTGCTCTGTAAATCAAGGCTGGCCTAGCCCAGGATGGTCTCGAACTCATGGCAGTCCTCCTGCCTTAGCCTCCCAAGTGCTGGGATTTTGGATCCCTGGCATTATAGAAAGGGCTAGTTGGGTATGTGGTGGACACCCAGCAGGAGACTGCAAGGGAATGGAAAGGACCTTTTTCTCAAGGAGCTTCTAGTCTGTTGCATTGAGGCGAGTCCTGTGCCTTGGGTGACGCTGGGTTGGATGTGAATTTGCATTGCTGTCCTTGGACTTCATAACTTCAGACAGATTTTTTTCCCCTCATGGCTTCATTAGGACATGGTTGGGAAGTCGATAATTTCTGTTTTGGACTGTGTACATAATACTGTATGGGAATTAAATGAGAGACATTTTCCTTTACCTACAGGATTAATCTACTTTGGAAAGCATGGCCTAAGGAGCGATGATAGTTGTTCAAATGTCAGACATATTTATCTTGCTTTCTGCCTCCTCCTCTCCCTCCTCCCCTTCTTCATTTTTGGTCCTTATTTTATTTCAGCATAACTGTTTTACTCTGAGGATAAGAACACGAGAAAATACTGATTTAGAAATGTGTGAGCTCTTTTGTCGTCTCCCATCCCGAGCCTGTGACCTTTGCATCTCTGGAGTACTCAGTTGTAGTGTCTTGGTCAGCTGATAGTGGAGGCGAAGGGTCCTGTAGCTTGGTCCTCGGGCCTGGGTCTGGACCGTTGCTCTGCTCTGAGGAGTGAAGTACGGTGGGTACATTTTTTAGGCCGGGTATATTAACCATATGTTTTTTTTTTGTGTGTGTGTTGTAGGGTTTTTTCCCCACTTGTACTTTTTCTGGTTTCTTTTGTCCTCTCTCTACCCCACCCACAATACAATTTTGGGCTTTTCTGTTAGGAAGACGTTGCTGTCTTAGAGTTGTTTTTGGATATCCTGTGACTGGGGCTGTGAGACTGTGATCCTGTTTGGGTCGCAATACCCGGTTAGCATCTTCTTTGCTCTTCTGGGTGAAGAAGGCAGAATAGAATGTTGACTAAGAGCAGGATACAGGCTTAGGCTCAAATCCTGGCTTCCCCCAAGTAACAGCTTAATCTCTTTAGGCTTACTTTCTGTATCTGTAATCTTAGTGTAATTATGGAACATTCACCACATGCCACACACTACACTACATATTTACCCCACACGGCTGTTTGGAACACTGCAAGAATTGAGTGTACTTAACTTTTTTTTTTTTTTTGGTGGTCCTGGGGATCAAACTTGGGACCTTGCACTTGCCAGGCAGGCACTTATGCCGCTGAGCTATCTCCCCGACCCATTAACTTCTGACATGTTACCTATTATTATTATCATTACCAGTAGTACTATGGTTATTTAAGAATTCGGTACCTGAAGGAAGGGCTGATACAATTGCCACTGTTCACAGACTTGGTGCTGAGAGAAGGGGCACTTGCTGGGAGGGTGTTACTTGCTCTCATACCCTTTCACTAAACCCAGACTGGAAAGATGGTTGGCTCCTGCTCATGGTATGAGGTTAATTGGTAACTGTAGAACAATATGACATTCATAGAGCCTGGGGAGCAGCTTATCTCTTAAGTACATATTTTTTTAGGTCATTTTAAAGATTGAAGGTCAAACACAGGAGGGAATAACAGAGCATAATGTTATTGTTACAGTTTCTTTTATTACCTGTGATTGAGAGGGATTGTGCCTCTGGATAAACTTAATATATGATATGAATTATTTACCCTCTGGTACAGTTATATATTCCAGAGTATATGTATAGTGTATACTATAGTATAGTATATGTTGTAGGATAGTATATGTTTTAGTATATTTTCCTGAAAACAATCAGAAAGGATGCATAAACTATGCTGTAATTCTAATTCTGGGCAGTCTTTGAATGAAATACCATTTTCTTTAGAAATACAGTAGCTGCCTTATATCTTATATGGTACATGACAAGTGTTTAATATACCATTTGATGTGCCCCATAGGTGTCCTTGGTATTCTTCAGGTTAATTGGGGTCTCAAAGGATTTGGTTCAGATCCAAGTATATTTGCCTGAAAACATTTGGCAGTGGCATAATAGTATATTCAGGACTTCTTTAGTGAATTCCTCTCTATCCTGTTGGAAATGATACTTAGTTGGCATCCTCCATCTGTCTCCCTTGGAGGAAAAGCAGTGTGGAAAGCAGCTTGTTTGTATTGGTACATTATGAAATCAGCGTCCTCTTCTGTTTTCTTTGCAACTCTTACATTGATTGAAAATCTGAAATCGGCAGAGATGGAGTGAGGGGTAAGCAGCCTGAGCTTTGAAGCACAGGTTCAGGTCTATCTTCTCAGCCTAAGTTGTAAAGCAAGTCAGAGAACTTCTTTGTACTTTCTCTTGTTGTCTCTCTGCAAATACAAAGAAAATAAAATAATCTGGGGCTTCTTTAGTCAAGCCATGCCATCTATCATGGTTAGGCAGGGGTTGTTTTTGTAGTAGCTGAAAAAGTATATTAGTGTAAAAATAAATATTTGTTGTACTGCAAAAGTTGGCCAGGAACTGGCCCTTATCTTCTGTGCTGTTTCAAAGGAAGGCGCAGCAAGCAGCATTGTTGCTGTGGCTTCTCGTGTGCTTGTCTGTGTATTTCAGAGATGTCACGGCCGGGTCAGAGTTCCGTGACCTCACACTGTATGTTTTTAGATGCTGCTTCACTGTCTTTTGTGTGTTGTTGTGGAAAAGTCAGGCTGATTTTGTTCCCATCATTAGAGATTTGATTCTTTTCCCTTGTCCTGGCTGCTCATAGCATTCATTTTTGCTCTTGCAGTCCAGTGCCTGTACTAGGATAGGTTTTATTATTGATTTTTCTGTGTCGTACAGTTTTGAGTTTTGCCTACCCTTGACCTTACAGTTTGAGGTCTTGCTTTATTGCAGATACTTTTTTGTGTCTCCTTTTTTTTTCTTTGTTGTTGTTGTTATTTAGTTTTTGAG